CGCGTCAGGAATCACTAGTAATCAAACAATCAATCTGTAACAAGTATTGCACTTCAGCTTCTGGGTCAATGACCCCCATCTCGAACAGGTTTTTGTCCAGTTTCCCTGATCCTCGAGCAAATGCTGAGATGGACCCTTGTTTTAAATTAACTTTTCCCCATTGCACGTCACACACAGTTTTTCACCGTTTTTGACGTAAATAAATAATTGTGATGTGTGTGTGGTTGCAGTCACGGCGACGTGCGGCGGGCGGGTGCAAAACAACGTGACCTACTTCACCAGCCCCAACTTCCCGGCGCTGCTGCTGGACGCGGGGGCGGCGCCCGCGGGGCCCTGCCTGCTGGAGGTGGAGCGCATCGCGCAGGAGATCAGCCAGCTGCGCCTCGACTTCGCCCACTTCCACCTGGTGAGAGAGAGAGTGAGAGAGTAAGAGAGAGTGAGAGAGAGAGCGAGAGTGAGAGAGCGAGAGAGCGAGAGCGAGAGAGCGAGAGAGCCAGAAAGCGAGAGAGAGCGAGATAGCGAGAGCGAGAGCGAGCGAGAGAGCGAGCGAGAGAGCGAGCGAGAGAGCGAGCGAGAGAGCGAGCGAGAGAGCGAGCGAGAGAGAGGGCGAGAGAGAGGGCGAGAGAGAGGGCGAGAGAGAGGGCGAGAGAGAGGGCGAGAGAGAGGGCGAGTGAGAGAGCGCAAGAGAGAGGGCGAGAGAGAGCGCGAGAGAGAGGGCGAGAGAGGGCGAGAGAGAGGGCGAGAGAGAGCGAGAGAGAGCGAGATATGCGATGGCGGTCGCGACGTTTTCGAAACACCGATGTATTGACACGAATCTGGTAGAGATGGAACTGGGAGAGATGGCTCAGGGCATCAACTGATGTCACTGCAGTCCCTCTGCCCGAGAGGACTTAGGTTCGAGTCCCGACGGTGGTGGCAGGATTGTCGGACAATAACTTGTCTGCTAGGTGGAATTCAGTTGCTGGCTGAAGAAGACTTTTAGTAGCCGGCTGTTCTGATCGGTAGTTTTCCGTGGTTTCTCCGATGAACACCAGGCACATGCTGGGGTAGTACCATAACAGACAGGCCATGGACCGCGCGCTATCTTTCCTGCGCCTTCCTGGTCCTTTCCACTAACACTGACGTGCACTACCATACATACCGGGTGACCGCTCGGGAGCTTAGAGCTTGGCAGCTAAGGCTATCTCCCTCTGGTGGGAGATACCTAGTCAGGGAAAACCCCTGTTAGCCGACGTTAGTTCGGCGCCGGATCTCACCGTCTAGCGGAGGAGTACCACAGCCTCCTCCCGAGGAAAAACATGCAATACACGTACAGGACTAATGACCATAGTAGTTGATGCGCCCGGAATCACTTGCTTGCCTTCTCCGAATCGAAGGGTGTCCAAGTTTGTCTGAACGGTTGGGAAGATAGAACTTCACACGCCACTTTTTGTAGGGGATATTTTACGTACAGACGCCTAACAGAGCATAGACAATTACTATCGAATCTTCTCGAAGACAGAGTGTTACGCCCCGACATTTAAGTGTAATTATCGCGTGACCTTAATATTAGTAATACATTAAATTATATATATATATATATATATATATATATATATATATATACATATATTAATACATATATATATATATATATATGTATTAATTAAATATCTTATTAATTATATATTTTAGCAATATAATAATCAAAATAATAGTATCTACAATCGAATGCACACATTAGTATGCATTACGTAAAAGACGAAGTATGAAGAGAGATTACAGAGGAGGTGGGAATGTGTTAGCTAGATGCGCATGGGGGCAAACCAACAAAGGAAATAGAATACACGTGTCAGTTTGAAAGAGGGGGGGGGGCTTTTACATTCAGGGAGGACTGACAAAGTTGCTCATGTATTATTATCCTCTGATTGTTAGCCAACATCTAATGCACTGACATTCGGTGGGCACGCCAAATTTCTTTGTTTGCGCGGGAAAGTGTGCGACAGTACTCCTGTGCATTAAGACTTGCCTGACAATGAGCGCAAATGTATGTGTAACTTCTTTTTATGATTGATTCATTGTGTTCGCGCGCCAACGGCGAAGGTAGTGTATGTCCCTTGCGTGCAGTGCATGTTTTGATCGCGGGATGGGGCGTGATATTCTCCCGCTGGATGACGAGATCCGGCGCCGACATAAACATCGGATAGCGCGGTTTTCGTCAACCAGGCATGTAGCACCAGAGGAGCACGCTCTAGCCGGGACAAACCCTAACATCCCGTCTGATCTCCCGACATATATAGTAGAGTAGTGCATGTTAGTATAAGTGTATGTAAGTAAGGAGTGAAGATAGGAGAAGGAAGGGGAAGGTAAGATCGCACGTGGTCCGTGGCCCGTTTGTTAGTTTACTACTCCGGCATTGACCTAGTATTGATCGAAGATCGTAGTGTTGTGCATGTAAGTGTACTTTAAGGATGAGGACAGGATTAGGAGGAGAAAGAAATGATCGCGCGCGGTCCGTGATCCGTTTGTTGGGTCACTGCTCCGGCATTCGCCAGGTTTTAATCCAATAAATCACGTAAAACTGTTGATCAGTGCAGCCAGCCACTAGAATTCTCCTCCAGACAGCGGCGGAATTCAACGCAGTTACAGAACTAGTGACGAAAATCCGGTCACCGTCGATGCATGATTCGTCCCACTACATGTCCATTGGCAAAAAGGGATTTTAGATCTCTCTGAATCCCTTAAAATGTGTAACATTATTTTCAGACATCTCCATATGTGTGACAATTCACCTAGGTGGATAGTTTACCGCCCGTAGATAATGACTAGTGTACACACACTCCAACGCCGGATATCCGGGTTCGAGGCCTGATTAATCCAGGTGGAAAATTTGTGGTCGACCAAATGAGCTCTGGGCAGGGTTTTGTCGTTGTTGTGCCTAGTTTTTCCTCAGTCTCATTACACAATTTCACCCGCTTCATCCTTATCATTATCGGTATCGGTACCATCTCACCAATTTTGATCATTTGATATCAATCTTTGATAACCTCCGATGTTGGAAAACGGCTGCTGAAATGGTTCGTCGTCTTGACGCGTCCGGGATAAGATATGAATAATCTATTTGAACTGCAAAAGGGCGTAACCTGGTGACAGCTAATTACATAAATAAGATAATACAGCAAACATGCAAATTATATTATAATAATAATAACAATAATAACGGTACAATAATAATCATAGAAACAATGAAAATAGCTGATAAAACCAAGATAATATTAACAATAATAAAAATAGAAATGATATAAAACTGTCTAATTCATAAAACATTAAATTACCTTAAGAAGCTTCTATAATGTAACTCCGCACTGAATGTTTACGACTACGACCCCTTAATCACTTCCTTCATTATTTCTTTTCTACACTGCACGACACCTCACTTGTCATAATCAACTTGATGCATTAGCTCTATACTAACTACAATTCTTAGTTTAAGTCGCTCATTTTATTATTAATACCCTAAATTAGTTTAATAACTGGTTGAACGCTACGAGGAAAGGGTTCCAAAGCAAGTTTTGCCAATCTATGCCTCTCTTTTTCGTTTCGATTTGTGAACACGAATTACCGACGTACCGTCCTCTGCGTCTGAATTTATTTGTGCTGTGATCACCCCTACTACTGGTCATGTAGGAATACTTAGGCCGATTTAATTTCTTTCTCAAGCTGATTACCACTATAATCTTTAGAAAAACGCAGAGTCTTGCTACTGACCGCCTGTTTTCGAGTGAATCCCATCCTGCCATTTTCTTGTCCATGAAAGTAAATTTAGGCACCCTTCGCTGAATCCTTTCCAAATTTTAACATTGGACGCCTAGCGTCGGTAACGACGTCCGGTCGCCGAGTCAGCCCTAGGGAAGGGAAGGGGCGAGAGGCGCTGGTCGAACGGAGGGGAAAGGAGGAGTGAAGGAGTCCAGTTTAGTGATAGGGCAGCGACACTTGGATGGGAGGGGCAGGTGGGGTTGGTAGTACGGCCGCGGTCCACCAGATAGGGCGTTTGGGAGAGACTCACGGCAGAAACGAACGGGAGGTGTACAGGATGTCCAGGGAATGAACGTCGAAACTTTGAAAATAGGCTATTAAGAGTAAGACAATTTTAAGAATATTTTGTCTAATAAATTCCTTGGATTTTCTGAATAGTTGAGACACAATAAGCACGTAATTGTTGGTTTGAAAAAAAATTCTATGCAAAAACTATGCATTGCAGAAGTTTATAAACACTCCAGAAACTGTGTTACAAAAGAAATGAATATATTTGTTCATAAAGAAAAATATATATTTGTTCAGAAGAAAAAATTAACCCAGAAATTAAAAAAAACAATTTACACAATTTGACTGCATTTTGTATTTCTGGGTTAATTTTTTCTTCTGGACAAATAAAATATATTAACTTCTTTTGTAAATAGACAACAATTCACATGTTTCTAGAGTGTTTGTATGCTTCTGTAACGTAAATTTGTGCATAACAGTTATTTTTTCAAACAACCATTCGAGTTCTCGTAGCGGATCAGCCATTCCGAATACCGAAGGAGCTTATTAGACAAAATATGCTTAAAATGTCTTGAGAGCTTATTTGCGAAGTTTCGACGTTTCCTCCCTGGACATCCTGTGTAGAAAGGGGCTGGATGGATTGGACCAGGATGGCCTTGGTACAGCGATAGGGTGTGCGAGAGTGACGGACGCAGATTGATGAGCGGATGGAACAAATAGAGCGGAGGGGCTGAATGGGGAGGTTTTGGCAGGGCGGCTATGACATGAAAGATAGAGTACGGGGGAAGACTGACGAAGCGTGATGAGTGGGAAAAAGTGATCAAGCTGAGTGGACTGGATGGGCAGGGCACGAGGTGTGGGCAGGACAGCCATGGTCGCCCGATTCGGCCAGCAGGGGAACGGAAGTGGCGGTGTTAGTGAGAGGAACACATAGAGTGGAAGTGAAAGGGCTGAATGGGAGGGGCGGGAGGACGGACATGGCAGGCCGAATAGGACGAAGCGAGCGGGACGAGCACATAGAGTGGGAGGCGCTGGATACACATAGAGTGGAAGGTGCGGGCATTGTAATCAGCGCGGCCATGGCAGGACAAAAAGTGCGTGCTGGAGGTGAGGGCAGGGCAACTATTAGTGAGAGGAACATACAGAGTGGAAAAGAAGTAAAAAGACTGAATGAGAGGGGGAGGGAGTACTTGACTGTCGGAAGGACAGCCATTGCAATAGGTCTTGCGCAGGATACGGACAAAGCGAGCTGGACGAGCAAAAAGAGTGTACGGACGAAAAGGGCGTGCTAGGGAGATGGGGAGGATGCCTAATATACGAGTGTGGAAAATAAATATCAGGGCGGGTATGACGGGTAATAAGATAGTAAATAAATACACTCTCTGACCCCACCCCACTCCTTTTACCCAGACAACGGTATAGTGGCTCACTACACCTACTTATGTCACTGCAGTGCTCTGTCAGGGAGGTAATAGGTTCGAGTCCCGACGGTGGCAGGATTTTCGACACTAGCTTGTCAGCTAGGTTGGATTCAGTCGCTGTCTGGAGGAGAATTCTAGCGGTCGGATGCTCTGATCGGTAGTTTTCCGTGGTTTCTTCGATCAACACCAGTCGAATGCCGGAGCAGTACCTTACAAACGGGCCACTTACACTTACACTTACCGCTTACACTTACATTAACACGAACTACATTACCACACACACACACACACACACACACACACACCGGGAGACCGGTCGGGAGCTTAGAGCTTGCCCCGCTGGTGGGAGATACCTCGTTGGGGGCAACCCCCGCTCGCTGACGGTAGATCGGCTTCGGATCTCGCCATCCGGCGGGGGAAGATATTCGCCCACTCCTGCGCAAATACGTGCACTACGCTTACGGGAATAATGACCTGAGCCGTTTTACGCGCACGGAACAATCACTCGCTTTCCTCAGTCGCTGCATTCCGCTCTCGGCTGACGTCGTCGCTCTGTGCTCCTCTTTGCGCCCTGGAGCAGCCCCGCCTCCCCGCCGGAACGCCGCCGGGGGGACACCGTTACATAGTTTCTTTGTCGGCACCTAAGAGCCCGAATGATTGCGCGGATGGGTGCTGCCGGCGCGCACAAGGAGGCCAGGGGACGCGAGGCTGAATAGTGGAGGCCCTCGAAGACGACCTTAACCGCTTCTGCTCTGCCTTATCATTTTATTAAGAAATTATTTTATTAACTAATTCCTTAAGTAGTTCTTATATTAACTAATTCTTATATTAACTATTTCTTTTATTAACTATTTCTTTTATTGACTATTTCTTTTATTAACTATTTGTTTTATTAACTAATTCCTTAAGTATTTCTTTTACTAAGCCATTCTTTTAAGCCATTATTTTATTAAGCCATTCTTTTATTAAGCCATTCTTTTATTAAGTCATTCTTTTAAGTCATTCTTTTATTAAGTCATTCTTTTATTATTCCATTCTTTTATTATTCCATTCTTTTATTATGTCATTCTTTTATTATGTCATTCTTTTATTATTCCATTCTTTTATTTTGTCATTTGTTTGTTAAGTAATTTATATTAATTAATTATTTTATTCGATTTTTCTTTTATTATAATTTTTCTTTTATTCAATTTTTCTTTCATTGAGTTATCATTTTGTTCAATTATTATTTAATTTAGTCATTCAGTTCATTCTTCATTGTGACTTCAACCACTTGTTTGATATATGTTCTGTAGGAAAGGATCTGTTCTCAAGGAGTATATCCAGAAATGCATTATTATACTAAAATTTGTCTACTTGTTCAGAAATATTTTGTAAATAATATGATGCATAAATTCAAAGTTCTGAGAAATGCTGCAGCATAGGTTCAGCTGTAATTGCTACAATAAATTGCCAAAAGTTCTCATAATCCCAATCTTCCTTGCAGGGTCAGCCGAATAGAAAAACCGGTATCTGTGATTCGGACATCTTCGTCATATCCGGAGGTCCGGGACCGGATGTGCGAATTTGTGGAATGAACAACGGGCAACACAGTAAGTCACTCCTGTAATACGGGGTATGGTTTTTAATGTGTACTTTATATCACTAAGGATTTAAACTAATTTTACAATTCTCTTAATGCTTTTTAGTGTCATTGGCATTGGTAAAACTTCTCTCAAATTATATGAAATATAATTTGAAAAAAAAAAGCTTTTTTACTTTAATTGACTGAAAGTCGTGTTCAAAATGGCTTGTGGAATATGCATGTATGGTAAAAAGAATGTGCTGTATTCTGATTTCAATGGAAAATGAATTATTTAAATTGACAACAAATGATTTTGAATATTAAAATTAAGAGTTCAAAGGTTTCTGTAACACAATTTACACAATATGATACACAACTTCACATTAGGTAATTAAATTTTAAATTTGCATCTATGTGTGCATATTAATAAATTCAGTAGAGAAAAAATTGCTTATGTATTACTATTGGTTTTGCTTATTTGTCAATTCATTAGCACAGTAGTATTAGCATAGCATAGTTGGTTTTCGGAGTCATTTATTTTCTTTAAAATTTTAACTAATGAAAGTAAATAACCTAACCATGTACAAAGTTATTGCACTCTCGCTTACCAAACGGGGAGGAGAGCAGCCTTAGATGAAAAATTGTCCCAATATGGTCAAAAACCTTCTAGCGACTGTTAAGGTGGGGGAAGGATATTGGCAATGCCCGGGTGCTTCTGATTCTCATCTTTGCCACGCTGCCGCTCGCAGCGTTCCATGTAACAGATTTATAAATAAACAATATAATAATAGAAATAGTAATAACAATAATAATAACAATAATAATAATAATAATAATAATAATAATAATAATAATAATAAAAAAAGAAATTGTGGTAGGATATCTCATATAACGAAGATATTCTTGTGACATATGTCCATATTGGTAGGAAACTCATCTTGGTGATTAGCAGACACATGCAATCATTTCAACTGTATCAGAAAGTTTACCTGCCAAACATCAGTGGTCAATAAATAAGTGTGTATCAATAAAAGTCAAATGTTGCATGCATTTCGTATATTATTTTCGTTAAATCGTATATTATTTTCGTATCATTTCGTACATTATTTTCGTTATAAGAGATTCCGCATCACACGTTCATTGGCAAAAAGGGGATCATCTCCGATCTCCCTTCATCTCTACATATTTATAACGTTTGAGCCATACTGTTGTGTAGCATCGCGGAAGCTTCCCAACCCTTTTGCACAGATAATACAAAATTAATCTCCAAATACACTTATATCATATCCTGATTTTTCTATTATGTTTACAAATAATCTGAAAATGTCTACACATTTGCATTAAAGCAGATAAACGAAGTATATTATTATAATAAATTTGAAATCTATGTTTCAGTTTATTATGACATTGATACTGTTCAAGATCCCATCAAGATCATGATAAACATGAGTCAACCAAATATTGGTAGATTTTGGGAGATTAAGGTAAAATTACTGCGATTGTCTTTTTAGTTTTTACCATCTTATTTTAAACCTTCTCTCATTGTAAAACATATAATTCTAGATCACGCAACTGGAATTTCAGCAAAGGGCACCTTCAGGCTGCCTGCAATATCACAGAGAAGCGTCAGGTAATGTACACGTTACTTGTGTTTGTATATAAAACTCAATTCAATGTCTTATTTTACCTTGGTGAGACTCAGGCCATTAGGCCTACTCTTCCATCGGACCAAGCCAATTTTAACTACGCTTGTTTCACCATCTAGTGAAAAAAGAAGCTATCACTTGAGCGACAAAACAATCGATTTAAATTTTTCTTAGAGGCTGTCTTTTGGCTTGATGTTTTACATGCAGTAAATATACAACATGAGAAGGATTTTTTTGCCCTTGAAAATCCAAGGCTTTGATCAGGTTTGAACCCGCAAATTTGGGTAAAACAGCCTGATACGTTAACCGCCAAAACCGCAAATGAGGAAATCATTCACTCTTTTTCTTCTCTTTATACGATAACCCATAACCAAGCATTGGTATCAGCAATCTCCATGGCAACCATTTCGTTACACTAATGCAATGATCGTGTTGCGTGTAAAAGTGGTATTTGGAGCAGAGTAGTGATTAAATTGGTTAGGTAAACTGGCGAACGTAGCAACTGTAACATTGTTGAAACCAATCTTGCGTGGAAAATAAGAATTCAACTCCGTATTGAGATCCTACGACGGCCCAAGACGTAGCGCCTGCGGATGCAACACTTTCTACACGCTGAGCTGCAAAATGCCTTGCTCCTAGGCGCCCGTGAATGGTCATATTTAAGACTTATTCACATTGACAATTAAGAATGACGTGGTGTAAAGTATTGATTGTATCATGATTATTAACGTTTTTACCGTTGCTATAAACCCAAACACGTGTATAGGCATATCGATTGTTATCGAATAATTCCATGTACCGTCGTCGCTTCGGATGATTATGAAGCTGTCGTTAGAAATGATGCGGAGAAGGTGCAATATATGTTTTACAGACTTCATTTCACGCTGACTAAAGAAAAATACGATAAAACAAAACAATATGTATAGTAAAAGAAATGCACACAACAGCGAAAGGAACATATACGCACAAATACAACAGGCTATCGATATATCGTTTGATGCAGATAGATATTAGGGAGTTCGTGCATCCTCGAATGTAAACGCTTTATCGTTCTTCTGCGCATGCGCACTTCAAGTTTCACACCACGTTAGTGCACCTGCGCATGCGCTGAAGATAGATAGTGCCGTCCGCTATGGCGTGCACAATGCTAGCGAATCAGCAGAAATAATACGCTACTATGATGTAATATGTATTCGATGTCACATACACGATTTATGTATCTATTATTCAATGCAAGAATAAGGAATATTTTTTAGTGCATAAAGAAGAACGCTTTTCAAACACTCAGGGTTTATTATTAGAGTTCAACTGGGTGTTTTGTTCAATTTGCTTGCTGGTCTATTATAAAGTATTCTTACAACAATATACTCTGGTTTTGGGATTGTTATGTACACGGATGGTGATGCCTTTATACATTATTTTGGAAATATAATTTTGTGTCAAGCTTCACTGAAATTATGATAAATTTTCCAGGTATAATCCAGACAATGAACTTCGCAGTAAATGGTCGTCATCTTGCAAATCAGGACTACAAAATCTGCATGCGACAAGAGATGGGTAAGTGAGTAATCCATGCATGACAAAAAATCGAAAATGTGTAGAAATATTATTATATCACGAAGATTTAAAGTGGGAGGTAACTGATAGCACATTTTTAAACTACTTATTCGTCTAAACTATTCATTAAAAGAAAAAAACATCGGCTTCAATATATTGATGATATAAACATGGGTTTCAATATATTGATGTTATAAACATCGGATGAATTTATTATTGTTTAAAACATCGGCTTCATTATAGTGATGTTTAAAACATCCGCTTCATTATAGTGATGTTTAAAACATCGGCTTCATTATGTCGATGTTTAAAACATGGGCTTCATCATGTCGATGTTTAAAACATGGGCTTCAATATATTGATGTTATAAACATGGGCTTCAATATTTTCATGTTATAAACATGGGCTTCAATATATTGATGTTATAAACATGGGCTTCAATATATTGGCGTTTCAAACATCGGATTCAATAAATCGATGTTTAAAACATCGCTTATATATGTTTATGACATCGATGTTTCTACAAAAACACTGATGTTTTTCAAAACAACGACATGGTGTGAGGTCCCCTTGTTAGGAAGTCTGCTCATTGGCCCTGTATCCACGGAATGTGGCTCTATTGCGTACGAACCCTGCGCACGAGAACTCCCTTCAAGATCGGGCCCACCGGACAGGTGTCGGGTGGTGGGGGCGCGGCGGTTGGACCGGTGGGCGGCGGCGGCGCTGGCGGTGGCGGGCGGGCGGCGGCGGCGATGGTGGTGGTCCCACCGGGGGTTTCCCCTGGTGATACCCCCCGGACTGAGGAGCAGGCGAGCCAGAGGGGGAGGGCGGCATCCTGGACGTAAGCGAACAGTGAGAGGCTTTCTCGGCTACGAGGGGGTGAACTCTGGGTATTTCCCAGTGGTACAGCTTTGCATCCAGTGCGGGGTCGACAGATGAAGGTCAAGGCGTGGAATGCAATGACTTCCGTCTCGACCAGGTATTTAAGCCAGTTTCCTTGAACCATTTAGCAAATGCTCAGATGGCCCTTTGGTATTCTTTTGGATATAAAGGTAGTTTAACTATCTGTGTACTTTTTCTTAAGTTGTGTGGGGAATGTAGTCATTCAAATAATACAGGCCTACGAAATTAAAGTTTTTGAAAAGTACGCGAGATGTTTTCGCTGACTTTCATGTTTCTTGATGTGTTGATTTACAAAATGACCTCCAATTTTTTCCCATCACGTCAGCTGTTTTTTTTTTTTCAAATTGTTATCGATATTTTTGCTACAACCCTATATGAAAAAGAGTTCCCTCAAACAATTCAGCATGTGTATCTACCGATAACTTAGTTAATCCGCCTTGTTGATTAAAAAGTATTGATACAACTTTCAAATCACCGCAAATGGTCCAACCGAGGTCTGCATATTTTATTTTCTTGATGACGAGAGCCAGGTTTTCATAGTATACGTCTAAATGCACCAAGTGACCAACTGGCACAGATGCATATTGGCTTCCGTGATGAAGTAGAGCAGCTTTACAGTTTCTTTTCGATGAAAATATAAGCAGATTCAATTCATCTACATCATAGGTGATATTAAATTTCCTCATCAATCCGGGAACATTAGAATAATAGACCAGGTTTTCCTCTTCCCCAAAGAACTTAACAAATTCTTTTTCTTGATTCCTGTACCATTAAGAAGAGATTTCTTTGGAAAATAATATTTTTCTTTCAATCTGGAGTCCAACATTTCAGCTTCTCTTTCTAAAAGGCCCAGATCTTTAGTTAGACTGTTAAGTTCAACATGAGAGAAGGGCTTAGGCGAACCGCCTCCAAAGGGCTTATATTCGGTACCGGATCCTTGAACTTCTGGATGTTCCGAGTCTCAAGACTGAAAAGATGACTGGCAATTCAGTTGGCCGCTAGATGTCGCTACCGTATCAAGTAGTGGTTGACAGTCGCGATCATGCGAGACACGGCAAAGGAAGCCATGAAATGCAGTAATAATTCCAATGTGAAAACGTAGCTCTGGTGCACAGTTAAAAAAACAGTATAACATGCACTACACTACCACACATGCCGGGAGACCGGTAGGGAGCTTAGAGTTTGTCCCGGCTGGGGCGGTACCCTGCTGGTGGGAGATACCTGGTTGGGGAAACCCCGCTAGAAGGCGAGCTGCGCCGAATCTCGCCAAACAGCGTGAGGAAGATCACTGCCACCTTACCAGAAAACACACACTACACGTAAGGGATTAATGACAATAGTAGTTTACGTACCCTGAATCACTTACAATCAATCTGCAGGACATGGGATAATAGCCACAATCGGTACGTGATTAGGCTTTACAAATAATTGTTATTTCACAAAAGCGAATTTTTTTCTCATCAATTCTTGAGAAAAATGTTTGGTGGTACCTGTATTTATAATTGAATTTTATTAGTATATGGATCCTAGAACTAAAAAAAACTCTTCTTTCCATAGTACGTCACTGTTTTTGATGGCTTTGTGACGTTAAATAAATAAAGGCTCAATTCTTCTACATAAGCGCGATTGACATTCCTCTTTCTTTTTTAGAATTATCTTGGTACCTCTACATGCTCAAAACAGTTCTTGCGTTTGAATGATCGTTTCCAAGATGCCTGCAAAGATATAGTGAACAGGAAGCATCAAAGGCAATAAGGAGGCAGATTAATATCAACGAAATACCACGAATGATGAAGTTTTCGCTAACGCATTTTCTGCGTCAACCAAAGAAGTACTACATTTATATGAATAACGCAATTTTGAGAGTGCAGTACAGTTCAACGATGTAGTTAAAATGGGAAAACACTGATGAATAAAAAGTAGAAACCGATAATTTCATAAAGTGACCTATCACATTTGCGTTAGAACATATATTTCGATTTTCATTGGCATTTCTAAGACTTATGCGTTACAGATCAGAAGGCACTTCTAGCTAATGTTTCGACACGAGCTGCCATTACGAGCATCTAGGGATGTTTTGAAACTTTCCTAGTTCTTTATGGGGAGACATTTTTGGGGTTCACTAGTGTGTTGGTTATTTTCGCAGGATTGGATATTTTACAATCTTCCTCTCCTGTATCTTCTGAACCCGCTTATTATTTTATCGTGTGTGCTTGTTTAGGGTTGAACCGTATGTTCTGCTTTCAGTCATAGAAACAGTCTCGCAAATTTGAGATCTAGAGAAACAATGAGAATATACGCCTGTATAACATGTAGACACATCGCTGGCTTTCAAACATTTATAGAGAAAAAAGCAGAACACATTTTAAAAATATACACTAAGAAAGAAACAAAACAAAAAATGTACTAAATCACAACCCCCTAAAATCCATTGAAATCATCATACAGTTGTCACAAAAACAACAAACAATTAGTAACTCTTAGTAAGTACCATCTCAGGATACTTAGGATCCAACGTGAGCAGTTCAACTGATTGTAACATATTTATTTTAAGTATTTACAATGCTCTTTTTGTTTACATTTTTCATTGAAATTAGAGTAAACCCTCTACAACACCTAAATTATCTTTCATGGGCTATCTAATAAGTTCATTTATTCACAAGCGTACTTATTTTGCTCTATTGCTTCTCTAGGGCAAAATGTCTTTCAGCATTACGAAATTCTTTATTATGCCGCCGAATGTTAAGTTACTCCCAAATTATTTCAGTTATGCCTTAAAAGATCAACTATTTTCACGTTGTCTTAGAAAGAACGGCAGCGAAGCAACAGTTAAAGCAGCAGTGGCAACGCACTGTACTCACAAACATCGCTGTCTCGTGCTTCGGCCTTGGGGTGAGCAGTAGCGTTGACGACGAGGGCTGGGTCAGTTACGCCGCCGGCGACAAGGACCCGACCGAGAGCGTAGGCTTCCGCGGCCGGAGTCAGTAGCAGGGCCGTATAACTTCGTAACGTGGTGGAGACCATTACGGTGGCGCGCTCTGCTGCATCACCTTCTTTACAGGAACTAAAACACGAACTGCTGCCAACGATACTTCAAACGTGCGTGGCTGCCGTGTGAGTTCGCAGGTCGCAAGCAGGCCTATTATGTTACAAAAGATAACGTCTATGTTCGCGCTTTCTTCAGAGGTTTCTTATAAGTATGTATATTATGAATAATTGTTCATTTAGAAGACACTTTTCGTATTTCTCACAAATTAGCCGATTTGAATGTGGGAAAGTTGGCGAGCCTACTCTGCAGCTGCACCCGGCGACACTAGCGCTTCCTATAGTAGCAACCTCAAGCTTTGTCCCCGGTTTTGATGGAGAGTTGCCGGGCCCTAGTCAGTAGCTGCTTGGCTGTCCGGGGGACGCCGCGTCGTATAGTTGGAGATATTTAGTCGTGCACTAAATCAGCTGTTGCGGTTTCATCGAATCGGGACTCCTGCGGTTTCATCCAATCAATTCCTACATTTCCTTTCCTCTGCAAACAACAGCTAGTCTGGGGTACGCAGAGGAATCCTTTCCGTACCAGTCCACCACCCACGACATCACCCCCGCCATACCCACCATCCAAGCTTAACCTCCCTCACTCACCCTAAGCAGGGAAGAGCGCACATCGCACGCCCTCCAAGAAATGTCATCAGAATACGCAATCGGGAGTTATGTGACGCTACAGTGATGTCACTATGGAGACGTTCAAACTTCCGATTAGATGAATTAGCGAACAGCTGATTTACTTCAATGCACGGTTAAATAAATCCTAGTATAGACACAGGGGCCTACGTTTCGGCCGCCGTTCTCCCACCCCGCTCGGGGTCTGTTCTCTGATTGGCCGACGCTCTCTCCGGATTGGCCGATCACCCGGCCAACCGGGTGACGAGTGGAGGAGAACCCAATTCTATATTACAGGCTCTCACAGTCCGGTGCGGGAGATCCGCAGCGGGTGCGGCGCGAAAAGTTCCGCGCTAGACGCGGCGGCGGAATCCGCAGGACCGTTCCCACCGGAGCGTCAATTGTGACTCAGCTATTGGTGACAGTTTTGCTCATCCGATAAACAAAACACGCTCGCTTCTATTCATGGGAGACATAAAAATGTAAATACGTTTTCTGAACATATGCGGCACGGTTCTTCTACCTCATCTAACTTTACCTACGATTTTCCATCAAATTCCTAATATGTGTTTAGGAAAGCAGAAAAGAGGTCCATGATTTTGACCTAGAAGGAAAAAGTACTGATACGTTCATACCTTGATACCACACAGGACGAGAAACTTTTATATTTATTAGAATAATCAGTGACTGTTAATGACATTAATAAAATGAACACAATTTTGAGGAAAAAATTGAGGTTTAATATTGTTTAACATTAATTAAATTATTGAACACGATTAGAAGTATTTTTCTAACTGTTCAGTCGATTCACTGGCGAGCTAAAATGTTCGACATCTGACAAGTCTTTGCGAGCGGCAGAGTTCTGCGCGAAGGAAAGGAGCTCGGCCCAGAGGGCAGCGAAGACTCCCGAAGGCGGGCGGACTTCCACGAAACTCGAGCGGCAGCGTACAAGACGCGTCCGACCGCGAAACAAAATCCGCCGCGGATTAAACGCTGCCGCGACGCTCGCCTTCCGCGCAGTTCCGAAACTGCTCGTAAGCCAACACGCGACGCGAAACTTCCGCGCTGCGGCCATTCCGCGTAGGCTGCGGTTTTTCCGCAAGTAAGAAAATTGCGAATGCGCTGCAGCGGCGCTCGCTTGCCGCGCAAGTCTGAACTTGCTCATAAGCCACCACGTGACGCGAAACTTCCGCGCTGCGGTCATTCCGCGCCGGTCTGTGGGAGCCTTGCCTCGTGCGTTAATCATCTCCATGCATTTCGCCCTGAGTAAGGTCGCAGAATAGCTGCCTAAACGTTGCCCCTGTGCCTAGGACGCAGCCTCTCCTGGACAGTCAAGCAGCTAGGAACTCTCGAGTCCAATGTGGCTTACCATTGCGCCTCAGTAGAACCAGCCGGTTCTTTCCAACCTTCCTCTCTGCATGCTATTCTATCTGGTGCGGGCAACTGAGTGACTGATTTCCCTTCGGTTTTCTCCCCGTCTTATGAATCAGAGCCTCGGAGTTACCCGTGAGTTGATCTTGACCGTGAAATTCAAATATATCACATTTTCCTATCTCATGTATTTCCCTGAACCAGATAGTGATATGATTAAAATGAGACACTCTCGTAAATGTCAGGAATATCTGTACAACCCACCCGATGTATGAAGAATACTTTAACCTTCTAAGGCTCTGGTTACCCGGCCAGCATCATCGCCCAGAATATTGAATCCTACGCATGTCCAAGGCCTTCAACTTCGAGGATATGATTTCTAGCAAGGTGGCTATATTCTATTAATCATCATAAAATAATGTTAAGTAATATGAAGTGAGAAAAATTGACATTGCTATTCATGACGTACGACGAATTATTATTATTATTATTATTATTATTATTATTATTATTATTATTATTATTATTATTATTATTATTATTATAACTGTGTAACTTGAAGCAATGTAAATTGTAAATTAGAAAATGGAAGCTCACGTCTCGCCCCGAACATTGCTTGGCATTTTATTTCACACGTCACACGTCGAGTTCAGACGGGAAGGCAACTGATACATATGCGCATTCTGATTGGCCCCATAAAATGAGCGGGTCCCGTTGCGTCAACGAGCGCGATCGGACCTCCGATTCTGTTTTTTTTTTCCTCCGTCTGTTGAACCGGAGATAACCGAAGGAGGGCAGTAAACGCATACTTCAATTCAATAACTCGAAGATCAGGCTAATTATACCAGCACTAATTCTATCGAGTTAGAATCAAACTGCCTTTTCAGTCACGATTAGTTCTTGTCCCGGAATTATCGTATTTTCAAGTCAGTTTACTGCAGTGGTGGAGCAGGATTGTGACGTAAACTTTCTCCTCACACACTAAGGCGCACTTCTGTCATGAATGACTAGCATCTTTCAGTTCCCCAACAATAGAACGGATAGCACTTTTCAGTTTACCAACAATAGAACGGTTAGCACTCTTCAATTCACCAACAATATAATGGCTAGCACTTTTCAGTTAAACTACAATAGAACGGTTAACACTTTTCAATTCATCAACAATAGAAGGCAAGCATTTTTACATTTTACCAACAATAGAACGCCTAGCACGTTTTAATTCACCAACAATAGAACGGCTAGCACTTTTCAGTTAAGCTACAATAGAACGGTTAACACTTTTCAATTCATCAACAATAGAAGTCTAGCACTTACTCAGTCGATAGACTGACAGCACGCCCAAGAACGAGAAGATTACGAATTTTCGCACCTTTTCACGGCATAATAATTTGCTTTGCGCGCACTATCACTTTTATTTAATATGGCTTGACGAAATTACTACGAACGAAGAACAGAACCGTTCACGTACTATTGCTATCGAATAGTTGGCTCGGGACTTCTCCACACTTTCACATCAACTATTCTTACTCTTTCATTTCACTTGCAAAACTCACAAGTATTTTTACCTACTAGCTAGAGTTCTCTCGACCGACTGTCTTGACAACCATACGGTGTCACTGTCACTGAATTACGGTACCCTCTCACCGACCCCCGCTCTTCCCATCCCCACCTCATTTCTCCCTCAGACAATCAACCTTTAGAATTGGAGCGCATTCGCAAATGATGTTAATGTTGTCTTGAGAGTACAACAGAGCTCGAGTCTTGGAAACGCCAAAAACGTGACGGTGATATACGAGGGCGTCGAAATAAAATACCTATGGGAATCTATGATTTTAAAAAGAAATCGATGAAGGGATTATTTATTGCTATTATAGTAAAGAATACATATACCTGTGTTTTTCCCTAAAATAATTCATCCTGTACACGTTTCAATGTAATTTGAGTAACACGATTCGTTTATGATACAATAATTTCAAACAATTGTTGTTTTTTAAGACATGGCATCTGGAGATGGCCCAGAACCAGATGATGCAGTTGGCAACTCCGGTCGTCAGATGGGACTTTCTAGAGAATGCAACGATCGAGTCATAATGCCGTGTGATTCAGAAGAATTCATTATGGTGAGTTTGGAAGAGTCTTGTAACCTGTGAAGTGCGTGTATTACCTGAGATGAAATATCTGAAATTTAATAGTCGTAATTAAAAGCATCATCTTCCCGCTATTGGTTTCTTTTACAATGTCTGCCAACACATAATGAAAATATTGCTTCAGGTTTGCGTAACATAGAGAAACTCACAACAGGGTACAGTCAAATTACTTATTTTTCTTCTCCTAATCAAATCTACGATACAAAATAGTGAAAGTTAATGGAAATCTTTCCCTACCAACTTCTTGCTCGTAGGTAATGTAACTGCGAACACGTAACCTCATTCCATTTCCCCTCTATGTCTTTATTTCAGTTCACCTCGATTTCAAAGTTAATTTTCTGTCCTATTATTCTTATGTCGAAACAATTCAAAGCAATGTCATTCATTTATCATTTTTTGTTAAAAATTAAACATTTTTCAAATTTTGAATTAAAACAAAGCAATACCTACGAGGATTCCAACCTAATTCAAATTTTACTAACCGTTAATCAACGAGGTGAATTTTTAGAAAACTTGAATCATGTAATAATGCGTAGAAATATTTTTGTTCGTATTACAAGATTACCTTTCACATGAAATGTACTGTTCCAGTCCAGGCAAGGCGCCCCCATGATGTGTGACCTACTTCACTGCGGAACGTCCTTCTGCCAGGCGGGAGATTCCTCGTGCCGAATTGAAAGTGAGTACAATGTCTGGGTTGTACCCTAAATTCACACCGTTTGTCTGCACTCAGCACGACAGCCCGCGTACGGGCCATGGCCTAACAGCAGCGCACCGGCCTCGCGCTCATGGTCAAAAACAGCTCCATTTTTTTTTTAATTTCACGTTTGTAACAGAGAACTGTAAAAAAAGTGGTGCTGGTCCTATTTCAGGCGATCTTGCTATATTTTCGCAAATTGTAAAAAGTTAACATTGCAAAACTTCAAATCTGAAAAGAGATTATTATCTTAAATGAAATCTGCTCTAAAAAAATCAAATCTTTAAAAACGATTCAAACGTTCAATGATTTGAAAAAAAAACTAGTCGTGTTTGTGAAATTTCTGCTTGAAGTTAATGCAAATTATAAAGAATACATTTTCTTAAAAAACGCTCTAATTTTTTGCTTTATTTTTTTCACGGATAGAACCAGGGACGCTACAAAGAATGACAAAGGTTTCATTTTCACTCAATTCTCTGCATTTGCGAAAATTGCAAAAGTTAGAAATAATGCGTTGCATAATGTGGTTGATAATGCTGTTGTAGCATCACTAGTTTAAATGTAATTTTACCTCATTTATTCAAAACAAATATCACATATCGATCGTATGACATCAAAATTCCCATTTTAATTAGACACTTTTTAAAAACATTTGAAGCAAACATTTATTTCTTTGTTTGAAACATTTATGAAGAAGTCCGAAATAAATACCCGCCTCCCTAGAATATGTAAGGAACCTCTGTTTCTGAACAAGCCGTGTTGAGTAAACGTGTAACATAGAATAAAAGGGGCGGATCCAGAGATACGTTTTAGGTGAGAAATTAATAATGTTTTGATGAAACGAGTCATTACAGATTCTGTATAATGTCGCAGGCTACACTCATCGCATGCTGCGAATCGATTTTATTCATTTTAATGATTATTCGAAAATATTTTTGCTTGAACGTTTCGTGAAAAGTTCAAATTAATAGTTACAGAAAAAAATGTAGGGGGGAGATATCCCTCATTTCCCTCCCCGTGGATCCGTGCCTGAAATAATAATAATAATAATAATAATAATAATAATAATAATAATAATAATAATAATAATAATAAGCATAACATGAGTATGCAAGTGCACGACCCTAGTAGCCATCTTTTCAATTGACCTTCATCTATTTAAAACTTTGTTCCAGGTAGCACAACCCCATTCAACATTCAAGTCCAGTTCGGCCGAGCCCTGAGAGAGGAGTCCCCAGAAGACAACCTTGGGATGTGCCTGAGATACGAGCAGTTGCCCTGCACAGCATGAGAGGCCGCATACCGCAAACGGAATTATGCAGTGCGTTCAAAAAGTCTGGTTCTTTCGCCACTCCACTTCTTTTTGTTCGGAAATGGCAACGTTGCAAGAGATGGGATGTTTTCTCCCGTTCAGACACGCCCATGGGGCTGGATTCAGGGAATAGCGGACAGGAAAATAGGGCGGGGGGCGCTGGGGTGACCTTCTTCTCTCAACCGTCTCCCTTCTCCACGCCGCAAGCGGCTTACTGCGCCGCAATGAAATTGTTTGTGAATTCAGCGTTCGTGTGATTTTCCCGAGGACAAACTGGAAGAGATTGTTCTAAAAACTCTTCACACCAAACTAGCAGAAAGTGTAGAAATGTTCTGTTTTCTTCGACGACTGGAATAGTATTTATTTATTTATTTACTTATTTATTTATTTGTCATTTATTCGCCGTGCTGGAGGTCAAACACCCCTGTTCAATTTATTGACTGAAACTTCTCTAGCGTACACTATGAGGTAACTACACTAACAGAAATTTCTCGTTACTATTATGAAATGTTCATTAAAGGAATTATTATGAACTCACATTAAATTTAATGTACATATGCAATTGTAAACGTGTTATGGTTACATAATAATGAGTGAATGAATGATCTTGATGGACTGGTGTATGTGAATACATGAGATGAATGATGAGAGGTAAGGGAAATAGGAGAACCTCCACATTAAATCTACACTGATTTTAACGTATGCCTTATATTTAACCTACTAACACATTCATTTCTTTTTAATGTACAAGGTTACGTTAAGTTTCATGTACAATACATTAATCCACAATAAAATTAATGACATTTCTGTCAGTGCAGTGACCCGAGAACAAAACAAGTCAAGTAATATTTGCGAGGATGACTGAAAAAATGGTTTGAAACACGCATGTTACATTACACGGACTGTGGCACCACTGTCTACATTTGGAGTCTTACCTGAGCTGATCTTGAACTATTGCGCGTTGCCTTTATGACAATGCGTGTTCCCGCTACAGCCGTGGGCGGCAAGAGTAATAAAAACAAATACTATGTGGGCAATAAAGGGCCCTTTGAACCGTTCTCCTACTTTTAATGGAAGACCACTGCTCGCTAGCGAACCTATGAGGTGACCTGGAAAATCAGCGACTAATTAAAATTTCAATACATATACAATGACATTTTTTAATTACTCTGTAATAAGTAAGTAAACATAATCATAAGTAACCTAAAAATCTTTCATACTTATGCTCTTCGTACTTGATATCACAACGATTACGACAGGTCAGGCCACTAGGGTCGCTAGTTTCCCATTATATCGCCGAGTGGCATGTATTGTCTCTATAGTATTTGATAAAAACACAATTCTCCAGATCGCAACGCGACGTTGTCATTTCCGAATAAAAGGGACCAAGACAGGCCTGCGCAGAGGGGGGAGAGCCAACATTTTGAAAGGGACCTCGTGACCTTATGTAATTAAACATATTTCCACAAATGTGTTACCCTAATAAAAATGACGAATATAACGTATAAATACATTTTAAACAGTGAAGACAAACCCGGTGGATACATTAGTATACCGTATCTATATGTTTCAGTGAGTGTTATTGTCTAGGGATACAAAATTTGAAAAATTTGGCATTTTACTCAGTTGTAGAAGTCAACACTATTGTTGTCTTGAGTCATTACGTTGATGACTATTTTTCAATAGTTAAAATGAATGTATGTTTATTTAAAAATTTTGATTTTTACAAAAATAATACATTAATTGGACATTTAAATCTCCCATTTTGAAGACTGAACATGAAACTTCCTAATTTATCTACGAAATATGGACTAGAACCCCCAAAGAAATCCCAAAAAATGTGATCAAAAATTAAAAATCGTTCGAAAATAGTTAAAAGCGCTGAAAAAATACGAAACTACCATGCCAGAAACGATTCCTTCTAAAACCACTCAGAACTATATTTTAAAAATTCAAAAATAGACTCCCCCCTCTGGTTTTAGATGCTCATGCGTGTGATTGACGAGGAAGTCATTACGGTAAGACTCTGAACACAATGTGTAAATGCACCGTCATCCTCTCCTTTGTACCTTTCCCCCATTCACCTGTTTTCAGGCTTATCGGAAAAATACGCCAATGAAACTCAGTGCTCAGTGAGCAAGAACAATGATTCTAGGAGTTATGTTTTCCAATATTTTGGCCCATTGAACTATTTTGCGTTTTAGGAAATATTTGCGAAAACTCAGTCACAATAAAAATTCCCTAAAATGTTGTGAAAGATTAAAATAAATGTTTAAATATTAAAAATATTTGAGATTGTTCACTTATTGAAAATGTTTAATTGTGACCTCTATTAAATAAATGACATTACTTTGATTTTTAATACAACTTATTATTGAAAAATCCAACTTGGATTGGTGATTGATGTTTGAATCTATTTACTAAAAAAATATTTTCTAGAAGTTGGATTCAACGTGTTTACAATTGGATCATCGGTTCAGGTAAGATCAGTATGTTTCATTTTCTTTGAAGCATAATGAAACAATACAGTTTCTCTTATGCAAACATAATTTGTTTTACATAGATGTGCTGCTATTTGTAGATACATTCGTATAAGTTTAAAAAAATTCAATTGAAATGTCGTCGAGAACTTTGAGATAATTACCAAATGCTTACACTGAAGAACACAGTTTGAGAATCCGTTTTTACTTACTCGCTGCCGCTTACACAGTAGAGAGAAAGCCACGCGAAAAAACGGCGAATTTTCGACAGAAAAACTCCTATTGCCGGGCCCTGGTAACGAAAAAGTGGACAAATCCAGTTGCTAAATTTAGTAAAATATCCTATAACACGTGGTGAAGCCAGAATAAATGTTTTGTTGGTCCTTGATACCAAAAAATCGATTGACGGCAAAACGCCAGTCCGTGCGACTGCTCGTCTGGTGCATGTGAAGTTGTGAACGACATTAGCGCCTAAACTGTGCGTATGATGTTTTGCAAACTGAGTAAACTCGTGTCAATCTGCCCTGCGTCAAAGAACTGTGATTAAAAAAAATATATACGAAGCTCTTGTGACATTTTTTAAATTTTCACAAAAATGGCACCAAATTGTTTCTTTAAATTTCTCGTAAGAATAGAGTAAATGGCATGGATCCGTTTATCACTAATAACTCTGAATTTTCAATAATTGCAAAAGATTTTATTTCTTTTAGCGGCTTTCTTCAATTACAAAATTGAGGATAGAGATTTTTCCTTCAGAAGAAATTTGTTGTTCATAATTCGTTCTTTCATTAAGGTCATGTGCATTTTTATGAAAACTTAAGTGGCTTTCGCATAATATCGTAAGCTCTAAGGGTAGTGTTAAACACAAAAGATTTTCTCATAAACATTTACAAATTTTTTCTTTAAACTTTTTGCGCGGATAGTGCTAATTGCACTGTTTAAGATGATATAAAATGCATTTTTTGTTTTTTCAAAAATTGAACAAATGTAATATTTTTGGAATATATTTCACATTTCCAGCGATTTGTATTTACTATTGCATTAGTGAGTGAAGGTTCTTCAAATGACTTATATTCACGTTTTTCAAAGACTAAAGTTTTCTGTGTAATATAACTTTAAATTTCGCATTTACAGAAACGCTTCATCGCCATTTTCTTCAAAACTATCACAAAATTTTTCAGTGAAATTTGCCATTTTGGACGAGGTTTTACTCTCCTTTAATATTCTTAAAGTAGTGTTTCAGTTCTACAATTAGTAAACCGAAATATTGAGAAACTTTCAAACAAATGTACTTTGGGCGGCGCTGGATAGCTGCTGGCAAAAGTATGAGGCAAGACAGAAAAGCTAGGCCAGAACAAAGAAATAAGAAAACTAACTAGTACGAGAAGGCCTGTGCCATTCAGTTACCACTCGTTACTTTCTCGCTACCGCTTATGCAGTAGAGAGAAAGTTATGTAATGCTGACGAATTTTCGGCAGAAAATCTATTACAGAGCCCACATAACTAAAAAGTGGATAAATCCAGTTGCTAAATTTAGAAAAACAATCCTCTAACACGCCGTGTAGCTAGTATCCATGTTCTGTGGGTACTTGATACCGAAAAATCGATTGACGGCAAAACGTGCCTGTCTGTCCGTCTGTGAACAACGCTAGTGGCTAAACCGTTCAGCCCATTTTCTCCAAAACTGATATTTCCATGACAATCTGGCTGATGTCACAATCTGGCTCCTTGAATTTGAAACCGATCTTTTAATTTTGGGGGGCACTTTACATGAAGACTCTGCGAGATTAAAAAAAGGCTCCGCCGTTTTTGATTAAATTTTGTTGTTGAAGTGGGAAGTACATTTAAGAGAATGGTGTAGGTCTCATTTTCGTTAAAAACGGATTTTTCGAAAATTGCAAAAATTCAAATTTTTTTCGCCGTCTTCTTACAACTACAATCATGAAGAGAGAAATTTTTACCTTAATAAAATTTGTTCCTTAAAGATAATTCTTGAAATAAGGTCATATACAATTTTTCGAAAAATTGAGTATTTTTCGGGTAATTTTGCGTCAAATATGGGCAATTTTTAATTTTGTTTAAACAATTTTTAGTCAAAAACGATTCCCTAGTTTTTTATTAAATTTTGTTGTTGGATTGTATGAAAAACGCTTATGACAATGGTGTAAGTCTGATGTTTATTAAAAACCCTAATTTTTCGAAAATTGAAAGTCATTGTTTTTCAGCGTCTCCCTATAACTACAATTATGAAGATGAACATTTTTTCTTAATGAAATGTGTTCAAGAAATACACATATAAAAATAATGTCACATTTAATTGTTCAAAAACCTGAGTATTTTGTGCGAAATTTTGTGTAAAACACGGGCAAATTTTATTTTCTTCAAAATATTTTTTTCTTAAAAACGGCACATTTTTTGTATTAAATGTGGACATTAAATAGTAGAAAGAACGTTTAAGAGAATGGTGCAGGTTTCATGTTCGTTGAAATACTTGATTTTTCGGAAATTTAATAAAAATAAAATTTTTCAGCGTCTTCCTACAATTTTGAAGAGTTAATTTTTTTCTTAATGAAAAGTGATCATCGAAAACAGATCTTCAAATAAAGTCATGTTAAATTTTTGGAAAGATTGAGTATTTTTTGTGTAATTTGGCGACAAATGTACTCGGATTTTACTGCGCTTCATGAACGTAAAATGAGGTTGCAGGAATTTGGAAGCTACGTAAGTAAGAATTTGTATATTATTTCATATTCATTTGTTCGTTTCTTACATTCCTTCCGTATACTTTTACAAATTAGTCTTTTAGAAATTATTTAAAACTAATTTTAAATTGTGTCCTTTTATTGAGTTAAATGAAAACGAATAAGATTATTTCGCTTCGCATAATATGATGTCAAAATGAAGTGTAATGCGTGTAAAATCCGAATAATCGTGGTGAATATAAAAATATATTTTTCTGTCCATTTTCATTTTCTTGCTAGCGGTATCAAGAATGCTAATTTGCAAAATGTGTATCCCATACGAAGTAGCAGTCATTGTTACATGTTGCAAACCCTTTGTTGAAACGCCGGACTGATAAAGGCGATCTCGGTCGCCTTTCGTTTGCGTTAATATAAACTAATAATTTTATATACGACTAAAATACGCACCGCCCATTGCCGGTACATTTATGAAAAAAGTGAATACACCGAATTCAATAGCAGAAAGCTGATTTTGTTTAAATATTTGGATTTTAAAAATATATATTTTTTCAAGTTTCGTATGTTTAAGAATTTTTCAAATAGTACTTGAAGTATAAGACAGAAATATTTGTATTATAATATTTTACAGACATTAACAATAACACCAGAAAGTATGTGCTGTTGTAGCTCAGTAGTTTGATAATTCCTTGCAATTTATTAAGTTAAATTGCATTTCATTTTCTCTCCATGAAATAATCTTACTTTTGATATCTCATTTGACTAGATTGATTTGGCTAATCACCTAGATATTGATGTGACCTTAAGTAAAAAAAATAAATAAAAAAGGATCATTGACACAGAAATAATATGTAAATGATTAGGGACATTATTCCACATTTAAGGTTTCTAGGACAGTTCATGGTTTCTTGCAAAGTCCATGATACTTTATTATTTAATTGTATCACTTACCGAACCCTCTCTATATTACGTCAAGCCATTTTAGCCATAAGATATATTATATATCAGTCTCTTCCCTACTCAGGTGAAAAAAATGTTTCCACAGTATTAGAACACACTTTAGTCATTGTAAGAACTCGAAATTTGTATTGATGAATAATGAGAATATTGGTTGGTGGAATTGGTTTCATGATGTTTTTCTTTTGACACATTTTGAAATGATTTTATTCTTGAAATGGTTCTTTGTACACAAATAAAAACTAAAGGTATATTACACTATTTAAATTACATTTTTCTGAAATGAAACGTATTAGAAATTGAAAGTATTAAGAATGGATATGTACATGTTTTATATTCCAATATTAATGACTAAGCATTTCAAACCAACATTAGAACAATTATGAGAGCTATTCAGGCTCAAGTAATAAAATTGTGTTTCTGCAATTTCAACGATTACTTATGCATATGTATTTTTACTTTTTTAAAGACAATGAAGAAGAATTTTGTTGTATTATTCCAGAAAATACTGTATTTTCACACAAATTCAAACATTCTTTTGTAAATGTACAAACAGAATGCATTCTGTAGGAACATGATATCTCGGCACTTTAATGCATTAACTAATACAAATTGAAAAACTAAAAGTTTGTTACATGACAATTCAATAAAAGACTTTAATGTCAGTTATGACCAGGGCTTGGATTTTGATGACATATCATCTTTTCATTGGTGCATTATAGACATAGATATTATGTAAATGAAGTTAATAGAAATGTATAGTTATTGGGTCATTTTTTGCCATTTTTCAATTTTTAGGCCATTTATGTTATTTTTCTCCTTTTTAGCATTTTTTGTTAGTGAATGTTTAATGAATTGACAATGACTTACTAAAACAAAGCTTTTTTTGTATTATCAGTTCATTGCAAAACTCACTGCTGTAATGGACTCTGTTTTTCGAAAACTGAAAATTACCCGGATCTTCGGTAACTTCCTGGACCAAAACTGTCAGTTGGAAGATTGGAGCTAAGGATTTCATTTCCCTCTAAAATCAAGATTTTATATTAAATTTAATTTTATAAAAAAAAATTATTTGAAATTGTAAAATTCTTTGATTAAGTAAACATTTTGATACAAATTCTTGGATATTTTGAAAACAATTAGGTTACTTTCCCCCTATGTTTAAGCATTTTAGGTCATTTTTGTCTTATTTTTAAGTCTTTTAGGTCATTTCAATGAATTTTTTGGTCATAAAAATGCAAGCCCTAGTTATGACTAATTATACCTACATTATAAAAGCAATTATCTCCATTTAAGTTCAACAGGTATTTTTTCTAATTCATTTTTCATCACATACACCTCTGATAAGCAACTTGCAAATGAAAACGACTTCTTTTTTAATAGCAATTCAACAAAAAACAATCAACAACTCGTTCATTTTTATAATACACCCAACATACACAATTAAAATTCTTGTGAAATATTTATCTATCATTGCATCATATTCTGACAATATTGCCAGATTCTAGTGTGCATGTCGTACTGTTGTACACAATTCTTGCATTTTGTCTTCATACATAATTATTAGAATTTGAATATGCCTTTAAACAGTTGGGTATAGCCAGTACATCTAAAACATATGAGATATGAAATATAATATTTTTCCCACAAAAACTCAAATTGAAAGCTTAATTTAAATATGAATCAGGAAAAGTAAGAAAAAGGCATGTAGTGAAATTACCAAGGTAAGTTATTATTATGTAGTGAAATAGCCAAATGGAAAGTAAAAGTTATTTTTAGCATGCGGACTATATGAGGGTCAATTTTAATACATTGAATTTTTTTAATGATTCAGCATTGGGATTTCTCAGTAAGATAAATGTATGACTGGAAACTTGAGAAGGAAAAGTAGGAAGTCAGAGTTTCCTTCTATAACTATAAGCTTTTCATCAATCTTGGGTGAAACAGTGTTTTTTAATAAAAGTATTCACCACTTGAAAACATGTTTAAAGAAGTGAGAAGAAAATTTTCTGTTCTATTCTGGCAGAGTTTTGGAGGGGAAAATTAAATAACAAATTATATTCAACAATTATATTCAATAATTAACACATTTTCTACATACAATTCAACAGGATTATTGTTTAAAAATATTAAATTTGTTTAAAATTATAATTATAATTATAAATATAATTATTAATATTATAAGATATGTAGATCTTTAGATTGTAAACAAATGTGTGTCAGAGAGTCATAGTGAATTGCAATTACCGAATTTTCTAATATGTAATGAAAATGATGTTTTCTAGTTGAAGTGATTCTATTGAATGCTTTTCATGTAAAAATTGGCAAACTGTTTATTATAATGAATTCTTGAATGAAATAAGTGGTTGGTATTGATATTTATAAAGATGAATGGATGATTTCCGAGATTAAAATTTTGTACAAGAAACAAGGGCAACATTACAAATGCAATTAAGCTATATTGAATTTCTCTCTACTAAATAATTTTGTTTTATCACGGAACATAGGTCTTGTACACAAAGCATTATTCAATTTTATGAATTGTCAAAAAAGTATCAATTTTTATTTTAAAAATTAATTATAAATATTTACTACAGGTAATGAAGGGTCAGCTTTTTGCAAAAAAATAAAAATGTGAAATTTGTGGCCTTATTATATCCTGGGGACCCACACGGCCACTTAGGAAAAAATGCAGAGGCGGGTTTAACACACCAATTTGACAGTATAAATTGCATTTCCTCTTTTGCCAAGGCGTTCAAGAAGCACAATTCTAAATTGCTATCGAATTTTGGTTTTCACGCCTGAGTCAGTACCAGTTCCGGAAGTGTGTGTCTGTGTTGCGGGGATGATTGTATGAGAATGTAAAAAACTATTCTGCTAATATTCTTTTCTTTAATGGGTGAAAAAATGTATATACATTTTAATCCTATATGCCAGTTAAATACCTGAAAAGTCATTTTATACAAAGATTCTATGTTAACTACTTTACAATGTTGAGAACCAACTGCAAAGCATAGATAGGACCTGAAGCATTTGTGGCTGGACTACTATTTTTATTTATTTACTATTTTTTTTTTGCTATCATTCGGTCCTTTTTCAAGATAGTCTAAAACTTATGTAAACTGACTGTGGTACCCTATATGGAAAAAAAAAAGAAGAAAGAAAGAAAGAAAGAAAAAAGAAAGAAAGAAAGAAAAAAAAAAAAAAAAAAAAGAGGTAAAAGTCCTACTTGTACTACTTTGGTAGGCATGAAGAGGAGACGGGATAGGAGATAGTTTTATACAAAAACTAAATTTTGTTCTGTGTACAAAAAAATTTAAGCATTTGATGTTATTTGAGGTAACTCAATTTAGCATGAATATTCTTTAATAATATATATAATATAATATAATAATTTAATAATAATAATAATAATAATAATAATAATAATAATAGTAATAATAATTTTGATTTTATCCTGAAAAGACATTATGATAATATCAAGAATAGGTTTTTTCGATTATTTTAAATAACACAAGTGTTATCCACCAAAAGTAATGATTTGGATACCTTAAAAAATAAGAAATCAATTATCTTAATAGGAGTTTGTTACTCTTTTTGGCTTTTTCACTACAGGGTATTTTTAATTCATGAAGGAAGACTCTATGTAAAGGTGCAATGTTCAGAAATTTCTGTCTTCTTTGAGACATAGTACCTACCATAATTTCTTTCCAATATTGGTTTGCACCTTAAAAACAATTACCTCAAACCAATTTCAAACAATTAATCAAAGAATTTCTTCATGTACAACTTTTATGTTTTTCATCAAAGCAAATCTGAATTAAATAATACTACCTGTGAAACATTTTTCAGTCTTACATATCAAGAAGGAAATACATAATATAGCATTTTCCTTAGATATTACATCAGTCTATTACCAAGCCATTTATTAATACTACAGATCTTTGATGTAACCTCAGGGCAATCACTGACCACCAAGCATAATCCTAGTGTTTGAGAATTTTGCATTACTAACACCAATATTAGTCTTGACGTTATGTGGTGTTTCTGCTACAGAAATCATCAAAGTGTTAAGAGAAGCATAAAATTAAAAATGTGTAAACAAATGTTAACAGACAGTGATCTGGGTGTATAGAGTAAAAAATGTACTTAACACATCAGCATCCTGACTTTTACATGTTATTCAGTATTGCATCTCATGCACGCATGCCACATGAACTATGCAGTTTAGAAATAGGAATTTATCACACAAGATGATAAAGAGACACTTTGTCTTTGAGAGGAAGATATTACCTCAAAGCAGTGAGCGAGAAATTTTTCTTCAGCAAAGAAAGTATCTTCATCATCATGAGTGATATTTTTTATGTTTTATTCAGTGTTTTAACAAAATCAAAAAAGGTTATGTTGTAATATTATGTTAACTAGTATCCTGCTCCTCCTTCCTAGTCAACATGAGTACCAGGAGTTAAATATTTTATCACCCGTTGTTCGTAAGGTACAGTAGCAATAAACTATTATTAAGGACTTAGCATCTTTAATTTTCTTAATAATATAAATAACTTGAAGGTTATTAACTTGATGCAAATCAAGTTCTGAGCGGTGTAACTGTAGAAAAATTAGTGCTAATTCATATTAAATAATTCCAAACCTTTATTTAATTGCCCAACAGTTTTTGATGGTAAATTTCACATTCTTAGCTATTTAGTTTATTGGTAGAATTTGTTGCTAAATGGCAGGCAAAATTAAATCTTGTGACATTTTGATCTCTGATTAAATCCTCCATTTGCTCACCTGGAGAACAATGCGAGTGACAAGAAAATATGACTGTATAACAAATAATTATCAGATTTGAGAAATACAATATGGGTATTTGGTTACAATGAGTCAATTATACTGGAAGCTCACTGGATGCTGAATGAAGAAATTCACAGCTAGGCAGTCTATAACAGGTCTCAAATATCTATTTCAGATGTGTTTGGGCATTTAAAGCTACATTAACAGTTTCAGAAATTACCATAAGTTGTAAGAAATAACCAGAAAGTAATTCAACACCAAAGTGCATTTAGTCACTTCAGAGTGATGTTAATTTGAATTTTTTGTCTGTAAGTAGGTACCCTCTATTTATTCCATTAAAGAAATAAAAATTATTTTTTACTTTTCTTTCTCTTAGTGCTTTGAGTCCCCCAGAAATAAAATCTGCACATGTTCTACTTTCTCTTCCCTTCTTATACTATCCTACCGTCTGACATTATTCAGACCCTCAAGGTAACATCACATTCTAATATTTTAACACTGTTTGTAGTCACGCAAATGTCCTGAAAACTGAAACAGATGTTTGTAAATTGATGTTAATTGAACAATTTTCCATACATTGACATGGAATACCTTATATGGCTTCAAATTTTTGTAGCCTTCTCTTTTCAACAGAGCATATTCATTGTTTATTAACAAACTAATCAAACTGTTTTACAACATATGGAAGGAGAGCCATTGTGTTCAATATGCTCTAAGGCACATTATTGAGCAAAAAACAAAAAGAAAGGAGCATATGATACTTAAAAAAAAAGGAAGAAGGGGAATGGTACAAGGATAATAATTAATAAAACTCAGTAAATGAAACAAAAAATAAGACTACATAATTATTTGTATAATATAAATTAATATTTACAGTTTCAGAATACCAGACCACCGAAAACCAATTGATGATTTTTGTTCAAGTGAATCACCAATATGTACTATTTAAAACATGATTGAATTAACTTGTCAAAAGTCAATGTAGATTTAAACGAGATGTTGTGTAGCTTCTCTATGGTCTGAACCACCAAGCAATTACCCTCAATGAGAGTTATTGTGAGACACACAATTAAATAGAATAAATAGTAACTTTGATTGTGATTCTGGATTTCTTTGAGGGACAGCATTAAAATAGGAACATTCAAAACACAAAAGTACCTTGTAAAATGATATGGAGAATTCAGTCTTTTAAAGACTGGCATCCCAAAATTATAACATTAAGGGTAAAAAAACAATTAGGTGTGGCAAATTTTTGGCATACTAATGGTTCTTGCCTAGCTAGAGTCAAGGCGTACATTCAGAGAACGAAACAAGCCTACATACCATTGCATTTCCACATTTGATCATAAAAAAGGCCAAAGTGACAGAATATATGCGTAGAATCTATTTTCAATCTGATTTTGAATATGATTTATTTACAAATGTGTCACTTTGTACATTTTATGTACATATACAATCTGTTTTTGGATAAATTGCACATATATATGTGTATATACTGAATGAACCATATAACTGAACAATACTGTAATGAGCAAGGTATAGATGCTATAGTTATGTTGTGAATTTGTGGAATGTTGTTTCATGTCAAAACTTACAGTTAGGATTACATGTATTAAAAATTTCTGATTGGATCCAGGGTGTTCTTACGTATTGCCATCTACTAGAAGAGACAATTATCAGGTGTGATAACCAAGGAAATAGTTGTGATAATCCAGGAGTGCAATGACTTTTTGAAAAGCAATGTAATCCTTTTTATGAGTTACTTCCTAGCATACATTCTGCAGGCCTTTTCTATGACAAGCTTTTCATTCTCATTGTAACCTAAAATGCTTTCAATAGCATTAAGATGACCTTGGTGATTTTCTTTGTCTGTGAGAAAGTAGTAAATTGCAGATTTCAGGAACTGCAATGTGATTTCCGGGTCGAGTTCACCCTTCTTAGCACGCGATTCCACAATGCGGCGGTACATTGCCTGTCAACAGAAGAATCATTCACGAAAAGTTCTCACCAATTCAACAAAGACCTCTTATAAAATAGTATATAATTCAAAAAGATAACTGAAGAGTTGAATTCTTACAGGAATTCTCTCTGTTGAATTCTAAAATATATCTTTCTATTTATTGAGAATAATAGGCTATGCAATATCAATTTTAACTCAAAGATGATGCATATGAACTGAGTTCATTTGAAATTAAAAATGGCCAAAGATCAAAACATGAAAATTTTGGTTCAAAGCACTTTTGTGAATAGCAGTCTTCATTTATAATGATTCCTATAATCCAAAGAGTATGAAGATGACCATAGTACATATGAATCAAAATATTGTAGAACATATGAGTACTAGAAACAGTTGTGATGATCACAGCAATTTAAATGTTAAAATACCAATCTAATTCTTTCACTAATACAAATACAATCAACATATGTTATTCCACAAACTGAAAATAAATTTCTCTAGTTTTGACATGTAGTAATTTTGAAATGTTCCAAACTAGTAGATAAATCACAATTTACATTATGTACATCATTAAGAGGGATTCTTGAAGTAAGTGCAACCAAAGAGAAGCAAGTGAAGTATAAGCAACAAGCAAAACATAAACCTGAAAATCATATACCGTATAACATATAATTCACAAACAAATATACACTTAAGCGAATCTTGCTCATCAGTCCACTCTTAAAGAAGAGCAACAAGCATGCAAATCACAAATCCTCAAAATTGGGAAGGAAAAAGGAACAATAAAAGAAATTTAAACAAAACGCCAGAAAAGCAAATAATGTTGAAACTTGAACCTCAGTTGTGTCTGTACAAATGATAAACAAGGAACAATGCGGAAATATTTGCAATCAACCTTGATTAAGAATCAAAATAGAAGTCTTTTATTGTGACATAAAATGTTTGTGAAATAAATGTACCTAGATGATTTTTACATTTTAAAAAAACAACAATGGTATGAGGAATTACACCTAAACACAACAAAAATTACACATATGCAAAACAATTCTTAATCAACTAATAATTTCTTATTGTTGATCATGATTTACTTCTATTATATACATTAACAGGCAGATCTAAATGAAATGACAGAGATTTCATTTAAAAAAGTCAACTTTTTTTCATTAATTATTTTTCAAATGAGCTCCTTTTTCTTAAAAATAAATAAATACCAGAGAGCTAATTTCTTTGATGTAGCAACCTGATTCAAATCTTTTCAGGAAAATTGACCCCCATCCCTGCCCTTGAGTTTTACTACAAGCTTTTGTTGCTTGAAATACTATTCACAAAATCATGAGAATAAAAGAATAAGAAAATTTGTTTTCACAATAAAAAAAATAGTTTTTTAACAAAAAATAAAATTATGAAGAAAAATCAGAAATATGTGCATTTAACACTCCCTGCTATGACAACTACAGTACTTCATTTTGAGAGCTTTTTTAAAAAAAAATAATTTATTGTGCAAGCAAAAAGGAATTGCTAGTGAACTAGATGCTGATTACATTTTCTGGAACATCCAAATACAACAGATTAAAGAATGACAATAATGATTAAGAATAATAAAAATAATAATGCAATAATTATTATTATATGGAAACTTAAAAGAATGTCATTGTTTTATGGAAATGAAAACTATGAGAACTTAATCCCTTTGCCTTCTCATCCTCATTGAAAAGAATGCTGATAAACTCATTTTGCTAAAGGGAAAGCAAAATACAAGAATAAGCAAAGCTGCCAGGATTGCTTTCATCTATCTTCAACCAACATATGTTCTCAGTAGGATATTGTAAATAGTGAAGGGAATCCAACAAGCAGATGAAGAACAACTAAAACTATTACATGATCTTATAAAATTGAAAGAACTTCTAATCATGGTAACTACGCAAGAGTGCTTTCAACAGTTTTTTAATATTAAATTGATTGTTTGTAAGTTCATTACCCTTCACTTTATTTACAGACACCTCACAAGGGATTATTTACAAAGGAATAAAGATTAGAAATATGTACATGGGTTCCACATTCTATCAAAGCTTCTATAAAACAAATATTTTGACACACAAGTCAGATCACTACTCTTCTTGAGCAGCCATTACCATGCAGATGACAAAGAATGTAGCAGGAACCATGCCTGAAGATTTTATTTCATGCGGCAACCAAATAGTAAAGCAACTCATTGAAAAAAATTGGAAGAAGTATAAAACAGAATGGAGTGTGGTACAGCACGGACGGAATCGTACTTTTACACGCGACATACCTTCCGCGTACCAAGTAGCCACAATGACAGGGCCTCCTTTGCAGTTAGCAAAGCACTCTTTGGCGCAAGTGTGTGATGTAGATCGTCTGTCTCCTGTTCATCGTTGCCACAGAGAGGGAAGAAAACCATTGATTAAAAATAACAAAGTGATCTTGGAGTCTGCGCACACTAGACCTCAGCTATTACATTACAGATCAAACACTGCCAAATTTAACACTTCATTTTTACAAACTACACCTACCTCAAATGAACATCCCACTATCTAATGCTACAAGAATTGAAATAAACTTTTCTTCAATTCTCAAACTAGCACAAAGATTTTTGGAATTTCTTGATAATGTTATTACATCTATTGTAAATGCACTAAACAAAATAAAAATTAAAAGGTATACGCTAATTACTTTTTAAGATTTCATCAAAAGTGAAATACCAAGTCTGTAATAACAAGGTCTATTGCACTACTGAAAAATATTTATTTAAAATTTAAACAAAAAATCATTGCAGAACATTCTAGTGCACATTTTTAAATTTCCACCCGGGCTTCAACTGACGGCTTATGTTGGTTGCCAAAGGATACTTGAAAGCAGAGGGACTCATCAAAATAAAAAGTAGCAAACTGCAGAATTGCATACTCTTACAGCATGCACATCATATTGGAATTACTTTTAAATCGGACATAACTGAGAGAAGGAATCAGCAATACACGATCAAGGAAAAACGTTCTGGCATTCATTATGAAGAGAGTTTTGTATGCTAATTTAGTAATTTGCAATTTCAATGATTCTTAAAAAAACTGAACAATTCTCATAATAAAACAAATATTATTTTTTAAGGTTTTTTAACAAGTAGGTCTACAAACATATTTACATCCTTGTATGATCTTCATTTCATTTTTAGCATCTTGCCTCTGGCAGGTACTTTCATGTTTAACATTTCTGCTTTGCAAATTCACCATAAAAAGAACTTTTAAATGCAGTACTGTTGCCAGCCAACTATTACTTTATCTCATAAAATTAATTTTAATTGCTTTGAATCATAAGTAGTCTACAACTTGTTATAATGCATGCGTCTACTTGTTATTAAACAAGAGAGATAGATCCATTAGTTCGGTATGCTTCTGGCGTACACACAAAGTACACTGCGACAGTTTTTCTGCCTTCGTCTACTGGTCTGCTCTGACCTGACACTGATCCTGGTCACAGAGCAGAGTCTGCTGTCATTTATCACATGACGCATTTATCTAGTTGACAGAGATGTACCTAGATGGCATTTCAAAGAAGGAGATCCTCTCCTCCTGCCGTACAGCTCAATTAAAAAAACATTTCCACTCCTGACCAGTGGCGGCCGGTGGGTTGCAAATTGAGAGGTGCAGCGTATGTGTCCGAAGTATCACATACGTTTTACCTCTTCAAAATATTTCTTGAACGGGGAAAACTACAGCATGTGGTGTAAATCCGATTTGCACGCATCGAAATTGCAATCTTTATCTAAGACAACCTTTACGTTAATAACAGAAAATACAATTGTGCTCATACGATAGTAGAAATTAATTAAAAAAAAAAAAAAATCCAGCAAAGGAAACTAATTTATGAAATTAAACGGCGCGGGGCGGTATTCTTAGCCAAGTTAATAGTCGCGGGTTCTGCGGAACAAAACCCTATAGCAGCACGCTGCCCCCATCCAATTCTCATGGCCTCGCATGCACCAGGTATGGAAGGGCTCACGATAGTCCACGATACAACCCATTCTAAAAACATTTTATCTTTCTCTTAAGCGGACACATAAAACTAAATTCGTCTTCACAAATTGCGCTGGTGGTATGCCCAAATTAAACGAGTTGATTTATTGAAAGTTTAATACTTTCTGCAACTTTTCCCGAGGTTGATTTTTTTGGGGAGGGCGCCGCCCTGGTGTCCTTAAGGACCAGCCTGGACCAACCAGAACGGCTTCTGATCGTAGGAGCGCGATTAATATGAGAGCAGGAAAGCTGAAAGTTGTTCCTTGAAGCTGGCTTTACACTTGCATGAAAATGGCGAGTAATATTATTTCGCAAGAAAAGTAGTCAATGTAAACATTGCGGCAATAAATATTTCTGATGTTGGCAATATTTCTTGCTAAATATTCCGGTCGTAATGTAAACTCATGTGTTTCCATCCTCGGAAAGATATTGCCGGCTGTTGCTGGGACTAGAATTGGATTGAAATCTGAGCAAGATATTGCTGAAAGAAGCCAATGATGGCCACTGTCTCATGAGCAGGAAGTACGTACGATTGTACATAGACGTAATATTTCCATTTTAATATGCATTTTTTCGTAAACTGGGTGGGTGAAGGTTTACGGCAATAAAAGTAGTAATAAATATTCCATCTATGGTTGATTATCAAAGGTTCAAATTTTGATTCAGCCATAGATGCCCCCTGATTATTAATTTTTTGCGTTCAAAATTATTGAGATATTAATCTAATCTAAATCAATTTTAAGATTACTCTATAATACATCAGTTGTAAGAAATTGATATTTTAAAACTCTTGTCGAATTAGTAATTGCCCTTTTTATTAAAAGAAAGTTACTTTGCTCCCACGGGAATCGAAATCCACGAAATCATTTTGTTTTATGAAAAATATTCAGACACTTCTATCTAATTCGCACAAGCCCCCATTTCCTTTCTTCTTAAAATTCAGTCACATGTCCTCACAAATCGTCGGCGTTACTTCAGCTCCCC